TTATGCTAAAATTGAACAGTAACTAGAAGCAAAAACCACTTACACTTCAAAATAAGCTGGCAGTATCAACACTTGCACACTTGAGTTTGAATCCTGTTACACAAAAAAATGTATGAAACACATATAAATCCAGCATGAAACACACATAAAATCGAGCACTTTACAAGATCACCCATACCATTTGTGGAAGACAATATTGGTATTCTACAAGTTGTCCTGTTGTGCCCACTAATACCACATCTACACACTTTCAAGGCAGATGATGTTTGTGATGAACGAATTTTATCTTCAATGGTTTCATATCTACGTTTTCTTGTCCTTCCAACTGCTTTTCTTGTGTTCGGTGGTAGCACGTTGACTTTCTTAACATCTTCTGGTATGGACCAAGCATCCTCAGGAACAGCAATAGGATTTATACTTTATTTATAAGCTTCTCTCCAAGCTCATGTCGTGGACATCAAACAAGTCAATGTGTGTAGCTCTCTGCCAACATGAACCCCAGCTTTAATTGCGTGCCTACAAGGGATCTTCATCAGGCCGTACTTCCCGCATGAGCAAGTCCGTCTATTAATCTTTTTCTCAACATCTTTGGTCAGAGGATGTTTATGCTTTGAAATCAGTTTCTTACGCTTATAAAACCACCGTGTCAACATTTCTATGATACTGTCCAACAAAGGAATGACTGGATATTTTTTGGTGAACATAAAGCAGAGTTGATGGATTCAGCAGGGTTGGTTGTCCTTATGTCATATTTGTATCCATGAAATTTACATCGAGCATTTTTTGCACATCAGTTACCCTTAGGTAATTACCAGACTGATATTACACACATCAACAAATGTCTTTCAAAATCAGCAACTCTATAAACCTTGGACGCCTTTGAAACCAACCCAACAAGTCCTTTACCATGGTAACCAGTCACCACATTATTCAACATATGATGAATACAAATACCATGTATAGTCTTTGGATACACATTCTCAAGCGCCTTAGCGATGGACCCATGTCTATCCGAAAATGAAAGCCAAATGACGATCATCAGGAATGACAACCTTTAGTTGTGTCATAAACCATTCCTAAGAACGATCTTTCTCTGAGTCGACTACTCCAAACACAATAGGATACAAAATAGAATTTCCATCTACAACAGTTGCAACCAATAGAACTCCTTTGTATTTGTTCTTCAAAAAGTGACATCAACCACAATAACCCGCCTTATGTCTCTGTTAAAACCTCGTATTGATTGCCCAGATGCAATAAACAGGAACCGGAATCTCCCACTACTGTCAATCTCATGCGATGAATGTGTAACTGGATTAGCCTCTCACAGCATGTGCAAGTAATTTGGTATTTTTCCATAACTCCTCTCTGGGATACCTCTAACTGCATTGACCGCATTCACGTGCATCATATGCTAAAGAGTTTGTGATCTCACATCCATGATCCATACGCATAATCTCTATGATATCATTTGTCTTTGGACCTTCCTTGACGCCTTCATATTTATGCATCAGACTGCCTATAGTTTTTGCCGAAATAGTCTTAATCCCTTTGCTTTGCTTGAAGGTGCACATGTATGTTCACCAACATACTTTTTGATCATAAAATATGTAGATTTCTTTAAAATCTCAGTTTGAACACTCCAATTGCAATCATTATCCCCGCATCTAACATACCAAAAAATTTTATTCGATTTTATAACCTTATAGTCAAAACTATGCTTCATTGTACATATCTCGAAGATCGCATTCAGAAAAGTTTTGTCCTGAAACAGTTTTCCATCTTAACAACATCGAGCAAAGTATACTTGGACATATTGTGTTGCTTCTCTTTCTCAGAGTCATGGTATCAACATCATAGGATTCCTCATCAAAGTCGACTTGTTTCATCTTTTCTTTCTTTTTCTTGCTCTGTGTCTCAGCAAAACCATCAGCTGGTTTGTTCCCTTTGTTAAACGCTCCTCTTCAACAGATCTCGAATCTGTTGGCGGCTTGTTAAGATCAAACTCTGCTTCATTCGGATTCTCAGCCTTGGCTTTATATGTTACACACAATCTAGTTGAGGCATTCTTTTTAACAAAACCAACAAAATTCTTAAGTTGTCTATGGTTTTCAATGATCACTAGTGGACAAGTTGATGTATTTATCAACTCAAGAGGTAAATAACTCAGCTCTAAATCGGCCAACCTATCTTCTTCAATATCAGAATCCTCCAACACCATTTCCTTTAAATCCTCTAAAGTAGAACTTGATTCCAATAACATTAGCCTACCCCCTTATCATCAGCTGAAAACATCCATCCCATTGTAGCATTTATTTCCCATACACCACAAGTGATATAGATATGCATCATACAAGAAAAGTTGTGAAAATGAGGAGAAAAACAATAGAGACTAGGTTGGATGAAAAAGCCAACCTTGCGTTGAATTTTTTGGGTTTTCTTGACGTGAGAAATCGGTTTCCCACGTTTAAAGCAAGTACAATTATTAACATATCTTTTTAGAATTTTACTAAATAATTTCCAAAACTTCCAGAATTTTTTTTTATCTTATCTATAGAAGGTACCTTCGACGCAGCATAGAAACACTAACATGTCACTACAAGCAGATTCTACTGTGAGTAGACGTTTGAGTTATGTATAGATTACGTATTTTGAGAGTTGTAGAATTGGTTCAAAACGCACAACCTGCATACAATTATTATGTAGAATTCTTTATAAACGTAGAATATTCGTTCTACAAAATTTAGAATTATTGATAAACGTGGAATATGATTTCTACTATATGATTTTTCGTAGAAGATGAATTCTACTTTTTGTAAAATGTAATTAAAAATTTTAATTTAACAAGTTTTTCAAAATAAAAATATCAGTTTGTGTATATAGACATTTCATCACTTTTTGTATTTTTAATTATTTTTTCGATTCATATAACTATTTATTTTATTAATTTTTAGAAAGGGAAAGGTTAAAAAAGGGCAAAAAAAATTATACTAAAAAGACAAGAAAACTGTTATCTGTTCCATTTTAGCATATTTCCTTTAAAATCTATATATATATATATAAAAGAGAAGAGATTCTCTTCTTAAGGTGTTTACATCATCAAAAGAATTGAATATTTTTGGACATGTGGTAAGATATGAAAGACTCAATAAGATTTTGCTTCTTCGTCTTCTCTGTAACTTCTTCATTTATCGCCACTTGAAGATAATAATCTAAATCATTGACATATTTTTCATCACTACGCACACTTTCTCGAATTAAATTGACCCTAGCATCTTCCATGGTAACGGCATGAAGCTTCACCTATAAGAATCTTATCGAAACCAAATTCCAAAGGCCTTAAAACAAAGTTGGTGTTGGTGGTGTGGGTTGTTGTGATGTTTCAAATAACTCTGGTATATTTCTTTACTATTCAAATGTTTCAGTTATGTATATATATACATGAATTATACGGTGTGGTGTTTTTTATTTGATTTGTGATGTGAGCATAACAAGAAGAATAAGCTATTTTTATCACCGCATTTGAGATCCCTGCACTTCAGACTTAACCAAATCAGATTTAATCTATTGAAAAAGATGTATACCCATTTTTTTTCTAAGATAAAAGGGTTTTCATTAATAAAAAAATGATTACATGAAACAGATAATAACAACAGTGAACCATAGCACATGAGTTCTAACCATCAAAACAAATTTCAAAGGGTATATATATATTAGTAGGAGTTTTACCAATTAACAGAGATACTAAACCAAAGAACAAAGAGTATATACATATTATTAGGAGTTTTACCAATTACAAGATTTAATTTCAATCAACTTCAGATGAAATATTATACATTATCATATATGAAACTACTGTGGAATCTTTGCTCTAGATTTTTTACTATAGAATTTTAGATGATTTATGCTACTCTTACGAAGATATATATATATATATATTGTTTCCAAACACATATTCACTATATCTATATAGATGAATTACTGTCAAATAATGTCTTACTAAACTATATATTTCACTTTGTTGTGAAGGGACATTCAAATGAAGAATCATCAAACATTTTTGTTGCTCCGTAGACAGATTGGATAATGAGTGCGACTTTATCGTCTCTTTGTTCATCTATGACATAAATTGACAAAGGTTCAATTCAAAATTTTTAAAGTGAGGTGAAGAGATAAAACATGCATGGGTAGTCATTTTCTTAGCAAAAATATATAGAGAAGATTAGTTTTATTTAAGTATGGTTATGGTAGTGTAATATATTTCTAAGTGTTGAATATTTAATGTTTTTTTCTCTTCAGAACGTGGTAGATATAATGCTATGTTTGGAAATCAGTCAATATATATACTAATTTATATGTTTAGAGATCTCACAGACTCTCTAAATCCTGCTACACCTCAGATCATTGATCAATCTACAAGATTTAGATTCCCATTAATGTCCCTTGACCATTCCTCTCAATATGTCTCGGTTATAAACATCTAGCTTGGATAAAATTCCACTTAACTCAAAATTTGTATTTATAAAAATTTGTAAACCATTTTTAATTTAAACCAACATCTGCTAACAAATTCATGCTAAAGCACAAGATGCATCATGTATAGTTATTAGATTGTTTCTTATAAGCTTCAAGATCTGAGATTAATATACATATTAAATAAGATAAAAATTTATCATTGTTCTGTAAAATTGTGTGAAAAAAAAAATACATAATTGGAGGATAATATTGACACTATGTTGAATGTGTCATTGTAATTGTTAAAATAAATAGTAAAATACATAGATAAAATTGTTGTAAAACAATTAGGAACCTCTTAATACTAATTTTAGGTTAAATAAATTTTAAACAATTTATCATATAAATTTATATACCCGCCCGGCGAGTTTACCCTAGTTTTAATATATTACAAGACTGGCATTATGTCTGATATGAGTTGTGACCAAAATAACATGATGAAGTGACAAAGATCTCTTTTACCAAAATTGACTAAATTCATGGAGAACAAGTCTGATTAATGTGGGGGCAAGCAAGTGCCTCGGTTGGATCTAAACACCACCAAACTATGTGTGATGTGAAGAAGATTGAGATTAAACTAATGGTGACGGCTTCAGAAACAAAGCACATACTGAATTGAGATCAAACTAATCTTTTAACATTGCATGTTGAAGATAACATCACTGAGAAGAAGAGGCAACAAATGGCATATGTACAGATAAATCAGAATGATATCAAACATTTGCTGAGTTGAGGATGTTTTAACTTATGAGCAGGAATGTGAGTGAGATGTGTCTTTCCAATTCAGACAAGCTTTGATATGGCCTTGCAAGACACCCAGAAGGCTTTGGATGCAATACTCAGGATCATTGGGTTTTGATATATCCTAGAAACAAATTAGATTGGTGAGAATTTTAGAAGCATTCAGACTAACAAAGTAATGATTAAATGTGAGTGGGTTTTGCTGGGAAGTACCCTATAGCAGTTGCGCTCCAGGATGCAACGTTGTAAATAACTTTACTTCCTTCCCATGCTTTTCGAAGCTTCCCCTTTCGTTTCTTCACTGAAAACATCGTGCTAAGTGCTACAACCGCCAGATCAAAACCAAACTCTTAGTACTAGTTTGATATGGAGAGATATAACACTCACTAGCATCTTAGCAAGATATTCACACAAATCCCTACGCTACATTCGTTGATTCTAATAGTTGACATATGGAAAGTTCAAGATTTTTAACCTTTCTGAAGCTGATCAGGTGATATATCCTACACAAAAGACAACACTCAGAATAAGTTGATCAAACATGAAACAGAACAGATACACGAGATATGTCTTAATGTAACCAACCTTAGTCTGCTTAAGGGAAGATAAATAAGTAGCCATGAAACACGCAATACCATCAGCTATATCTTCTTCCCTAACAACAACATAATCATCATCTTCCGTTTCACCCTCCTCACCCCATAAATCATCTTCACTAACTACGTCCCATGAGCTACTACCATCTTCTGCCAAAATCCAAACAACCTCTTATATAGTTTAATCTCTACAAAGTAGCAAATTCAAAGAACATGTTACCAGGAAGAGGGTCTTGGAGAAGAGAAACTTGAGCTAACTCAATCTTTTCCCGAAAGTCATGACCTTCAACTCTAGACTTGATGAGATCATATAACTGCACAATAATCATCCATCAAAGTCACAATTTAAAAAAAAAAAAATCAATTAAAGGAGCATACTTTATCAGCTTCAGGATCAGAAGAAGAAATCTCTTCTTCTTCCATCTCCGGTGAGTCGATATGATCCTCCTGAGAACCACTGGTTTCGATTCCATCGCCGTGATTGAGCAGCTCGAGAGCTCGCTGGCAATCGTGGAGCAAGGTCTGTAACGTCTTCCGCTTGACACGGATATTATCTGACTCGACTGTATCAGGAGTGGAGCTAGAGACCTCGATTTCCATGGAATTGAGAGGAGACTCTTTGACAACGGACGGCGTGGAAGACGATTGATTTTGATTCATCTTCTTCTTCGTCTCTCTCCGCCTTTTGTCTTTTATTATTTGTTTGTTTTTTAGCCGGAAAAGCAAAAAGAGAAAAAAGGATAAAGAGTCGTATGTAGTAAGACAACAAGCAACTACATTAATATTGTCAGGATAATGGAATCTTCTTATTGAATCTTTTTATATACAGAGAACAATCATTGCTTAAGAAAATTTAATAATCTATTCTATCAAAACAGGAGTACAAAATGATATATTTGTCTAATTTAAATAATTTTTTACAGATTTTTATTCTTTTTTAGCAAAATCTAATTACTTTATTTATTATCTTTTCTAAATAATCATTTTGTTGTATTTTGTAAATAATCACTTCATTTATTGTCCTAATATGGAATCCATTCAGTTTTAATGTACAAAACTAGATTTTGACCCGCGCAACCGCGCGGATGTTGGTTTTCATTTTTATAAACATAAATATTTGTTTTAGAACAAAAGTGGTATATATTTTTAATGTTAATCATATACATACATGTTTATATAATTATTTCAAATGCAATAATTTTATAATTTACATGTTATATTAATCAATTGTTTTAAACCATATGTATTTGTGATTTTTATTATATATTTGTCTTATTTTATTTGTATCTATTTATTTAGCAAATTAATATATTCATAGAAAACATGTTTTAGAATTATTTTGTATTTAATTCATAGTAAATTCTGACCCGTCTTTCAAAGAATGGTTTTCTTTTACCAATATTTTTATGTTAATTAATTTTATAAAATATATTATTGTATATACAAAAGTATAAAATATGTTAATTTTTAGACATGTATTATATAGTTTTCTATTTTTAAGTCGTTTTGTCATCATATCACATTTTAAAATAAATAGTTTATGTTTATGAAAATAAAATTTATAAATTTTTCATTTTTAGTATAATTTTATCATATTTAGCTCAATATAATAATTATCTTTAACATGATGATTATGACTATAAAATAAATAAAATAGGATATAATTTAATTTTTCATTTTATAGACGATAAATTAAAATACATTATGTTATTGTAAAAATATTCTTACACAGATTTATTAGTTTTTTTAAATTTAATATAGAAATATATATTTATATTTAAAATAAAATTATCATGATTAAAATAGTTACAAAGATTTTATATTATTAGCTTTAATGAAATACATGTTAATTTATATACATGTATTATATAGTTTATTCATGTTAATCCGTCTTACCAACATATTATACTTTATTTTTAAATATAAAATATTTTATAATTACAAATATAAAGTATATAAATTTAGTCAATTAATAGAACTTTATTATATTTAGCTCAGTATAATATTTTTTAATATGCTTGATTATGATTATATAGTAGATAAAATATGATATATATTTTTTCATTTTATAAAATTTAACTGAATATTAATATATAATAATTTTCAAACTAATTTCGAAATTAGTGAGCATATTTAAATATAATATAAAAATGAAGATCTTGTAAAAATATTTTAAAACAGATTTGTTAAAATTTTAAACAAATATAGTTATATTTAAAACGAAAATATATAAAAAAATATTATGACTAAAGTATTTTAAAGATTCTATATATTATTAGTTTTAATAAAATACATTTAATAAAAATAAATTAATGGTCCAAATTTAAAAAAAAAAATCACACATGAAAAAAGTTATGACTTTTATTTTAACAGATAAGATATGTGTTACCCAAAAACACATATCTGCTAATAAAAACACAATTTTCATATTTTTGGATTTGATATGCTTTAATTTACATAAATCATAATATATTTTATATTTCCTACTTAGTTCGTGTGATTATGGTATAATATTCATCTTGTTGTGTTGAGAATATGCCAAATATGTTTTTCGGTAAAGAAAATATACCTATATTTTTAAGCAATAAATGGATGATATATATGTTGTGATAGCATGATTTTAATTGAATTTATACGGCACAAAATTTCTAAATATTTGGTAAGATTTTCACTGATATTAACTAAATAGTTTACCAAATATAGTTAGACATCACGAAATTTATGGAATTATTCGTTTTTACTAATGTACGCAAGAGATTTATTTGGTAAACAACGAATATATCCATATATCTAATGCAATACATCCAAATATTTTTAAAAAAAATTAATAGTGGATTTATAAACACGTAACTATTATTTACATAGAGATCATCAGTAAACACATGTGCAAGATAGTTCTAGAAACAATGATCCCAAAATAACTATGACATGACATGAGCAAATTATTGAAACAATGGTTGTTTTCTAAGAATATATATATTATATATATATATATATATATATATATATATATATATATATATATATATAATATATATATATATATATGCATCTAGACAGGTAGAACAATGGCCACACGACTAAGGATTTTCTAAACTTGAAACAATGGTCATTTTCTAAGGATTTATATATTTGCAGCTAAGGATATCGAAGAACAGTGGTCACTCGACTAAAAAATGACTAAGACATGAAGATATTATTGATACCAGCATAAATGTTTACGTTCTTTATACATTGAATAAAATAGCATGTATTTGTTGGCAATATAAAGAACGATAAATATAATAGTACAAAGATTTCTAGTAGTTGTTGGTAATGTGAAAGTTAATGTGATTTTAATATAAAAACTAGATCTTTACCCGCGCAACCGCGCGAGTATTACTTTCAATTTTATATACATATGTTATTTATTTTATGAATATATATTTTTTAACGTTGAACATATATTTAAATGTTTATATAAATGTATTGTTAGTTTTAAGATATTCTTATGTATTAAGAGAATGAAAATGAAAATTAAATATGGTTGTTAAGATTTTATTATACAAATACAAAAGATAAGGTTACAACTTTTCTAAGGAAGGGTCCATTTTTATAAAAATCAACACATGAAGAGAAGTTGTGACTTCTCTTTTAATATAATAGATAAATGATAAGATAATTAAATGTGATAAATTTTATTAGATGGTCCATTTTTTGAAATATCACACATGAAATGAAGTCATGACTTCTGTTTTAATATATAAGATTTTTAAAATATTCAAAAACTATTGTATTCAAAACATGTTTGGATATTGTACCAAAAATAACTGTATATTCTATTAAAACAAAAGTATAATTTGTTTGGTTTAAGTGTTTTTTTATAGATTTTGGTAACATTTTTAATTAAGTCTAATCCTTTCATTTATGGGCAATTTTTCCAAGTAGACATTTTTAAGTTTTTATCACAAAATATACCTTAAAAACTAAAATAACCAAACAACATTTTTTATTTTAATTTTTTGAAATTTGAAACCATATCTCAAAAACTCTTCTCCTCAACTCTAAACAAAGAAAATCTATGATAAGTTAACCCAAATGGTATATGTGTATATTTACTTATTTTGATACAATATTTAAGTCTATTTTGGTCATTTTTATTTTTAAGATCTGTATTTGTGACAAAAATTGTTTTTAGATTTATCCTAGAAAATTTCTCTTCCTTTACTGTATTTTCTAAACAATAATTTCATTTATTGTCTTTTTTAAAGAATTTTTTTATTTATTGTCTTGCTTGAATATAGAGTCAGTATGGATTCGGTATTGATGTATAAATTTTTTAAAATATCTAAAAAATTAATGTATCTGAAAATATTTATACCAAAAATAACCGTATTGACCTATTTGATTCGGATATTTTGAATCTAAACTAAAAATAACAAAAAAATAACCATATTATCTAATTTGATTCAAATTAAGTTCTGATGTATAAGACTTAGAAGTATTCAATTCGTCAAAAGATGGTACATATAAATTATATTACTTTAATTATTAAAAAAATATTAATTATAAAAAATATAAAATTAATATCCACACGTACGTGCGGATCATATGTAGACTTTAAAGTGAGTTCAGTTAGTCAATTTGTCATTCCATACAATCGATTTAAGCTAGTAGCGAACCATATTTACCTAGCCTGTTTCCATAATCAAATTTACAGAAACAAAAAATTGTACCATAAACTAGATTATGATCCGTGCAGTTGCGCGGAATTATTTATAATTTACTAAAATTAGAGTTAAATGATTAGTGATATTTTTTAAACTTAGTTCGTGCTATATTGTATTTATCGATTTTCAGTTTGATTCCGGTTTGCTTGTGGATATTTGTTTTCGGTTCAAATAATATATTAACATTTTGGTTATTTATTAATTGGGGTTTGGTTTGTGTTTTGTTATTTTGGTTTTTAGTTTGAAATATTTGTAAGAATTATATGAAATTTCACCTAATTTAATTAGAATATCTTCAATATCTTTATTTTTTATTTGGAAAACAAATGAATATTTTTTTTAAAAATCTAACAAACCCCGTTAAAATGTCTTTTCAAAATATTTTTAGAATTTATTATCGAAAATTATTAAATTAAAATACTAATTATCATAAAATATAATTAGAAGTTATAATAATTTAGTTTTCATTTATAAACTACAATTAAAATTATATATAAATTGAATTATATGTAATGATAATAAAACTGATTAATGCTGTTAGTCATAAAAATAGGAGCATTTATATTATTGTAAGTAAATGAAGAGGATCTCATATATATTCTAGTGAAATATGAATAAGTCCAAAACTTAAATGACAGCATTGATAAGTAGTTGAAATATATGATTTCGTTTTAATAGATTAGACTAGATTCTAACTCTCACTGTGTGCGGGATTATTTATGCTTTATGTTTTTAACATTTCATGATTTGATGATATTTTTTATAAACTGTGATGTACAGTTTTATTGGTTTTGAGAAAAAAATATATTATGTACATGAGTTTTGAATCATAGTTGATAATGTAAAAGTTATCACTATTTTTGTTGTTTGAAATTACATTTATAAAATTAAAACTATATGATATTTTGATAATATAAATTATAATATGAAAATAAGTACTGTAGCTTTCAGATTGAAAATACATAGTTTTATTATACATATGAACTTAATACATTTTCAAACACATAAATTTATAGTTT